ACATAACTTCGAAACCCTACCCCCAAAATCCAAAATTGAGCCCCCAAAATCCAAATTGGGCAGGGTTCTCTAGCTTTGTGACCGACAGCTAATAATAATAATAATTCTATTTAAATTTAATATACAACTCGTGCTGAAGAAGAACTTCGAAGCCCTAGCCCCAAAATCCAAATCGAGCACGCCTACCGCCAACCGGTCACTCACGGTCAGATCTGCGACTGCAAATCGGCTTGGCCTCGCTCCGCTTCAGTCCCGACGTCCCTCACCTACTCTCTAATTCAGGTTTTGATGGCGGAATCTTTGACTATTTGAACGTCTTTTCTTAAAACAACCTGTGCCTAATCAAATTTGGGAAAGATTTTGCAAAAACAGGGATTGATTGATTAATTTAATGTAGGACTATTCCAAAGTAGTTGAGGATTGTTTGGAAATGGCAGATATCGAAATTGTCTCAAACACCACCACACACCTAATTCCCGATAAACCTCAGCCAAATAGCAACGACGACAATTTGATGCTTCTGGTGCGGCATTTAAACGACGATGGAACCCTCGATTGTTCAGTAATTTCAACCCAAAACAACCACTTCAAAGTGCTGCGACAAGATGATGATGACGATGATGTTCCCAAATTCCTGAATCTACTCAAACAAGATTACTACGATCCCTATGACAGCGACATCTTTTATAGCGTTCATGGAACTTGCAACTCATGGATGTTGTTGACATGTTGGGATATTCCATATGACTTCCTGTGGAACCCCACAACCGGCAAGACGATAGGTCTTCCGCATTTTTCTTTGGATTGCCCAACTTTTTCCGCATTTTTCTTTGGATTGCCCAACTTTTTCGGTCCATTGGCTTTACGGGCTCTGGTTTGATCCTGCAGGGGACACCTATAAGGTGTTGAGAGCTTGCACGATTTATAATTCTAATGAGGAGCTTTATGTTGAGCTTTATGTTGAGTTGTTGTCGTCCGTAAGCAATTCGGGGAAGCGAATCCCATGTCCTCGAGTGATTCAGGAAAGCGAACCCCGACAAGAACATTCTCTTTACATCAATGGCTTTTATTATTAGCCGACGCTTTTCGGTGAAATTCTCTCGTTCGATTTTGCTGAGGAGAGGTTTTGCCCTGATCTAATCCCCAAGCCCAAGAGCGATAAGTTCCCCAATGCCACTGTATCCAACGGCACTGCTTATCTCGTTGAGTATGATTCGTCGCTTGCTGCTGTTTTTTTCGAGTATGGTTATGAAATCGATTTGAAACGTTTTAATCCTCCTCCTGCTGAAAGGGAACCTTTTGTTTTCGATTTCGAGATTTGGGTGTGGAAAGAAGCTTCCACGTGGTCTTGCGTGTACACAGGGGCAATCCCTGCTTCGACTGCTTATGTTAATAGAGTATTGGGCCTCTACACGAACAGTAAACTGCTTCTTGAGGGCTACTATGGTGACCTTCTGGCTTACGACCTTCGCACGGCCCAATTGGAGAATCTCGGTATCCGTGACAAGTATAACGATATTGATACTAATGTGATGCAGGTCTTCCCTTACGTTGCCGATACCAAATCGTGCTTCAAATCCTCCTCGGAAAATCTCTCGTCCTTTCCAGAACAACCTGGTCGAGCTGCACAACACGCTCTGCATTGTGAAACCGAGGTTTTGGAAATATGGTCGAAGCTGAGGCAAAGGGTAGACTACATGGACGGAAGAGAAGGCTTATGGAGAAAAAAGAAATGGGAGGAGTTTTTGGGGTGCTCCATTGGAAACGACACGGACACTTTATGATGGACAGTTTATTTTCAAGATTTGGTTATGGAAAATCGGCATTTGGTCCCACATATCCACTTACACAAAGTCCCTCTTACTCTTACTCTTACTCTTACCTATGGCTTTACGATGTTGAGACGCGCGAGCTGGAGAACCTCGGCATCCGTGACGATTGTTCGTCTCTGACGGTCTTCCCTTATGTTTGAGAGTGATCCATCTAATATACATTAGGAAAGTGTGGTCTCTTATTACAACCTTATTCATGTCTTGTTTTGTTTTGTTTTCCTCAACTGGAAAATCGATGGTGTTTGATTCTGTCTGTGCATGTGGTTGTTTTTGGATCTGTGTAAAAATTTTGGCACAAAATGGAGATGGGACCACCTTGGAAAGAAACTATAATTAGCAAAATCGAGTCCGTCGTATAATTTTGTGACAGTGTTTTTTCCTTTCTCAGCAGGGTTTTCGACTTTTTTCCTTTTTCAGCAGGGTTTTCGATCTATTTCGACAAGGATTCGATCCTAATTATTGAAGGGACACTAGGTAACGTTTTTAGAGGATTTTAGACACTTGAGGCTAGAAACAAGCACAGCACTAGTGATAAAGCCGAATGAAAAGATCATAAGTGAATAAACTTTTCTTTTCGTTTTTTTCTCTCTTTTTGAACTCATTGTTTACCCCCCTATTTAGACGGTTGCAAATTTGGACCGAAAGTTGCACTAGTCAGTCATATTTTTTCAAGATATTGTACGTGTAAAACACTGTATGTTTCATATTTAATCGGCTGGTTGAGGTTCCCAATTTTGGTATTGTATTTTTGATATACTGAAGGCATTAAAATCAAATAAAATTATTCAAATATTGTAAAACTATTTTTCGTTAAAAATGGTATTTATCAAACATCAAATGTCTTTATTTATCAAGAATCATATTTTGTATTAAATAGATAAGTATTGAAACCTTTAATTAGAAAAAAAATTTATATCCTGTTTCAAATCCGACCATTTGATATAAGCCGAATTCGATCATAGTTGCAAGATCGACAGATCGAGGTTCCCAAAATTGTAAGATTTTTGGTTATGTATTTTTGAGATATTGAAGGCATGAAAATCAAATAAAATTATTTCAAATATTGTAAAATTATTTCTCGTTAAAAAGTTAACATATTATATTTTTTGTTTCCCATTTCCTTAAAAAGTTAAGACATGTGATCACTAGAGCTATTATTTGGCTTTAACTCGTTCAACAAGTCTCGCGATTCCTTAACGCGTTAAAAAGTTAAGACATATGATGACTAGAGATATTATTTGAATTGAACTATTTGCGAAAATAGCTCGGTAGCACAGCTCCTTTGTTTATTCAAGTAAGACGAGTTTGAACAACTAACCGAGCTTGTTTGCGAATAACTCATTTAATTTTTCCTTAATTTTTTTAGCATCTGCTTGTCCTTTTATCAATATGTTTTACTACTATTCAATATGAAGTGCATGGTTTTCACCTTATCTAAATCTAACTACTTATAATACCATTTAATACCTTCTTGTATCTTTATTTGTATTTTATTTTTTTTATGTATGCATATATGTATGTAGCCTGTACATGCTGGATTGCCATTTTTTAATTTCCATTTTGTAACTTGTATTTTTTCTATTGGCAATTGGACTGGCCTAGTGTTTACTTTTTATTGCCTAACTTGTTAAATTCATTCGATTCGTGTGTTTATAGTAAAATGTGTGTTAATAACTTTCATGTGTGTTACAATTTTATTTATTCTGTTTTTTCTTTTAATTTTTTTATGTGTTGGACAAAAAATCCAGCGCCAACTATTTCACGAAAGCAGTTGAATTATTTAATTACCTATTCTATCTAATAATGGAAGCACTAAAACATGAAAGCACAAATGTGACAATAAGTCCCTTTTAATTGTGTTTTCTTACCATACCTTATCATAATCATTCTTAAATGAGACGAGCAGTTCGTGAGCTCAGCTTGTTAGGCTTGATAAATAAAAAAATTTTACGCAACTTTTTTAATTCAATTTGTTAGGTTTGATTAATACTCCCTCCATTTTGAAATATAAGGCGTATAAAGATTTCTCATTTTTTTTTTAAATATAAGGCGCATTCAAAAATCAAGACAAATTTTTGCATTTTTTTCCAAATATACCCTCATTGTGTTGAAATTAAGGAAGTGTGGAGTGGTTGTGATTAGAGTAAATAAGGTTAATTTAGTCAATTTATTCATTAATTAATGTCTCCTTAATATTTGTGCAATAACCTTAAATGCCTTATATTTCAAAATGGAAGGAGTAGGTTTTTTACTTGATTTTTGAGCTCGAAATTAATATGTATAAGGACTTGCTTAAAAAAACAATATTAAGATACTGAAAAAAGGTGGGCCACCTGCGTTGGATGTGTTTTCTGTAGATGCTATGAGTAGAATTAAATGTCATCTTATTTTGGTT